GGGGGGGGGGGGGGGGTAGAGGTTTAATGAGGTCACCTTATTGAGGGCTTATAGGGATAGATGAGGTTTAACTTCGCTTGGGTGCTAAGGCCAGGAAAAGGTTTCAGGTACTGGCTTGGGGATGCATGAAGTCCAACTTTTGGAGGCTTCGGGCTTAATGCTTGTAGTAATCGCAATGTGCCGCAATGTGCCTGCGTGTGCAATGAGATAGCTTGACGGTCTCCTCATCATACATAACACCCTGAGTAGCCCGCTTGAATACAACTCCCACTTCAAGCAAGGATCCCAATAGAGTGTTTTCCAGGGCTCCTTTACAGCTTTGAGGGTTGAATTGGCTTTCTTTCCAGAACTAGAGCTGTGTTGTTAAGGGGATTCAGATGCCGCACGGAGAGTACTTGGAAATCCCCGAGCCACGGCATGTAGCTTGTGCATGCATTGGCTAGCCCATTGAGCTTTCGTTTCGCTTTCCGATTTCGGATCTTGGGGTGCGGGGCTTGAGTCTGGGGTCTCTGCGAATACTTGGGCCCTAAACCCTAAACCCTAAACCCTTAGACTTGGACTCAACAAGCAGGCCTTCAGGCCTGAAACTAAGGCGAAGGCCCCAAACCGGGGCCTAGCTCGAGCTCTGGGTGACTGAAGCTGCGGAGTTGTTCTTGCAGTTTCGTCGTTCGCCGATCTGAGATTTAGGGCACAGGAAACTACAAAGAGGACAAACCCACAAAGCCGTTATTTCTCGTGAAATATTCATCATATGCTCATGTGAATACGAAATCAGCCTGCTACACATTACACACCCTACAGAAATCCCGAACCCAGGACCCTAGACTCTAGACCCAAGTAGCTCTTCCAGCCACCATCGGAAGTCGAAAAGCAAAGAGGAAAGCGCCGAACAAAGCAGTCCTTCCTACACCATCATCTTCTTCTTCATCATGACGTTACACCACAAGGACAAGCCCTAATGCCCTAATGATAATAATAATAAAAAAAAATAATAAAAATAAAAAATAATAATAATAATAATAGCATAGTACGAGTCTCATTCAATGGAGTTGGGGCTCCGCGCCTGAAAACCAGAAGATCCTCAACTCCTTACAGCAACTTATGAGCAATTCCATTTCACTCTTGCAAAACCCTCTAAAAGCCGTTCCCTAAGACTCTAAACCTCAAACTTTACGGGCCTAAGGCTCGAGGCTCTAAGCCCGCAGCCCGAAAGCCTTGAAACGCTGGGTGACTTAAACTCCTAACGCCGTAGTTAGGCATCTTCCGTATTCCGGGGTACACTGAGATCACTCTCGCCTCCTCCAGCTCCTCGGCCTCTTGCGCTGCTGCTGCTGCCTGGCGTTTCTTTGGAGGGGGGGTCTATCTATGCTATGGGGTCCTAGAATTATGTGGGTGCTTGTTGTTTTCATTGCCAGCATGTAGGGCTTATTATTGTTATTATTGTCATTCCTGGAGTTAAAATTGAGGGGTTGAGGTTCATAGAGTTGTTTACGACTTCTAAGCACAGGACTTTACGGTTAGGAAGGCTTAAGGTTGGGATTGAGTAAGGCGTTCAGGAGGAGTCGCGGCGTTTAGATCCCTCTCGTATGTCCTGCACCTGCCTTAGAACTCACCTTGAAGCCAGAATTTGCGCCCTAAGCCGGTAAATCCAGGAACCTAAACACCGTACAGATGTCACAATGCAAAGGGCTTGTAATGGTACTTGTGACGTAGATGTCTTCCCCGTACAGTAGCTGGTAGGGTAAGAGAGCAGCGGTCTCATGCAGGCCGGATGTTGAGTGTAATTATTTTCCGACTTTGACATTTAAAACTTAACCGATTTTTGAAGCCAAAACAAATTCAATGACGGGGCCCAGCCCAGCAATGGTTTATTGTGTTTTTTTGCACGAGCTGGGAACGGAAACCCCGAAAACACTCACGACTGGATGACCTCGTTAACAAGAACATGCCCCCTCAAATGACCGATGTGCTGTAAAGTAACCAACAGCCGTATCAGTCTAAGATCAGCAGTGCCTCCTCAGCAGCTCTCTGCTGCTCCAGCTCCAGTGCCCTTTGCCTCTCCTTGGCTCTCTGGTCCTGGCATGTACTTACATGGGATTTTCAGAACTTTAGTGTCTAGGCTGCTCATGACATGAAAGCGCTGCCATAAGGGAAGGCATACTGTTTACTGTATACCCATATTTTAAAACTGTTGTTGAGTGCCCCTTACAGCAACCCAGTAACGGACCCCACTGTGGACTCGACTGTAAGTAGTACGATCCAAACTTCAAAGATACGGGGTGTGTGCTGGACCCTATGATGCCAGAGTGAGAGAAGGCACGGAACAACAAACGCACGGAGCCAAGACTTTCGGGAGTCGGACCGTAAGACCTGAATCATGAAACATGTGGGAGTTTCCGAAACTAAGTGGCACCCTATTATGGGGTCCTTATAATTGGGATCGTACTAGTTAGGGTAATATATTAGGGTCCCCCGATTTTCAAACCCTCATATGAAACCCACACCCCCAAACAAACATGCTCACGTGCCGCTATTGTGCACGTTGACCACAAGCTTGCAATTATGTATTCCTGCACTGCTTGCCTACTTCCTTGGCGGAACTGAAAGCCTTGCAAAGAAGTGGCAGCCAAAAGACCCTTCACGGAACTCTAAGAATCCGTATAGAACACTTTAAGGACTATGACTACACCCTAAACCCTAAACCCTAAACCCTAACCCCCAAACCCACACCCTGCTTCGGAGCCTGACAGACCTCGTTTCGGGTTCAGGGCCTTGGGCTTTTTTCGTTTATATGTCCTTCAAAGTTCAACCCGGTGGCCTGCCGGTCCGGGAACCTATTTTAGAGGGTTTTAAGGTTACGCATAGGCCCTAAAGTAGTTCCTTTTTGGGGTTCATATGTAGAATCCTATAAGGTAACCCCAAAAAGGAACTACTTTAGGGCCTATGGGTAGGGTTTAGTATTCAGGGGGACCCTTCTGGAACACTTGACCCTGAAGCTCGAACACTGGAATCCGGCCCCCTGAACCTTAAATAAAGCCTTTCCCTCAAAACCCCCAAGACTTCCCCAAACTCGGCCGTTAGTCGAAAAGACCTACCTCTGTATCGTTCCTTCTTATGGTTTCGATGTTTAGTTCCCAAAAAAAAAGTCTTGTGGTCCCATGGGTAGTAAACCCTAGAACCCTGAAGCAGGAAAAGTACAAGGAACTGCTAAACCCCAAGGGCAGAACCCCCTCCCCAAAGTGTTGAAGACCCCCGTAAACCCGAAACCAAAACCCACAAAACCCTCCTAAACCCCATAAGATGAACCCTAAAAGGTGTGAACCCTGAACCCTAAAACCCTGAACCCCCCCAGCCCTGCTAAACTCGCCTCGCCTCGACTTGCTTTCTCAACTCGGCCTTGTCGCACAGCTTGGGTCTAGAACTTAGGCTTGCGTTTAAGAACTTACTTCCCAAAGACCCTGGAGTAAAAAGCTCTGACTTTCAGGCTAGAGTGAGACTACCGGATAAGAGCCCCAAAAGTTTATAGGGCTTCGCGAGTCTTATCAGGGCTGCTTCCAAGGGGTTCCTTGAAGGGTGCACCAAGGGTTTCTGAATCGGTTCCCATCGGGGTTTAAGATTCAGGGTATAAGCGTGACGCTTTAAATGTGCGGGCTTAGGGGTTCAGGACATTGCACTTCCTGGGTAGTTCTGTAATTCATGGTCCCTTTTCGGGGTCCCCAATATAATTTGTACGGCACTCTTATAAAAAGGACCTTTCAAGGGACCCCAATTTCGACAACTACCCATATAAGCCCTACTTCAGATGCGTTGCATGCTCGTTGCAGGGAGGCTAGCGGGCGTCTTGCGCAGGGGCCTGAGGTTTACGGAGTTTTAGGATTTAGGGTACTCCCTCCCTCAGCGTTTTGTTATGTAAGGGTTTAGGTTTTAGGGTACTTCAAATTCCCTAAATCCTAAACCTAAACCCCAGCCTTTGAAGGTCCGTAATCTAAATGGAAGAGAGGCCCTAGACAGCGGCCTGGCCGCGAAGCCCAAAACCCCCCACAATCCCTGAGCCCCGAAGACCCCGTTAAGCTTTAGGGCTTAGGGCTCTCCTAACCTTCAACCCTCCCAGAACCCCGCCCCGAACCCGAAGCTCTCAACCCTTAACCCTGTCACTTTTCGCCCTGGTTCTTATAGTGAAGCCCAGAAAGTTGGAACATGCATTTAGGACGGTTAGTGTACTTTACCTTAATTTGATTTTCCAACTTTGACCCCTACTGTAACTCCGCAAAAGCCTATCACATTATCTTTTGATCTATCGATCTGTATGCATTCATACGCATGCATACGTCTGTGCACAGTGGCAGTGGTACGCTACTCCCTAAACCCTAAACCCCTAACCCCTAAACCCTAAACCTAATTAATCACTGATCAACAGTACGAGCTTTTCCGAAGGAATCGAACCATTGAGCTGGCGCCCGCCTCGTGTTCAGCTTGGATGGCCTAGCAGTTTAGGGTTAGTTAGGTTTAGGGTTTAGGGTTTAGGGTTGAGTTTTGTTTAGGGTTTAAGGTTTTGTTAGGTTTAGGGTTTAGGGTTGGGTTTTATGCTTATAAGGTCTAAAAAGCCTAGCAACAATCTCGAATGCAAGGCCGAGGCAGGAAGCCGCGTCTCGGGTTCTGCGCTGTGGCTTAGTCAGTTTTGTCCAGGAAAACCTTCTTCCCATATTAGCTACTGCTGGTGCTGGTGCTGCTGCTGCTTCTGATCCTCCTCCTCCTCTTCCTCGCACTGCTCCCTCTGCCCCTAGTGATCCTCACTCACATCAGCAAAAATCACACAGCAGTCAGTACAACTATTGCTTCTCCACTTCTCTGCTTAATCACTGACATACCCACTTCTGCGTTGCAGAGTTCTGGTCCATCGTCATGCTCGAGCAAGCTGTTTTCGGTCTTGCTCGGAACATTGCTATGTTCTTCCCGTTGTCTTTTTTTCATCTGAACTGAAAGTTACCAACAGTAGCACTGAAGGAATTCCTAGGCCGCCAGGACTCAGTGCAGCCGGTGCTATCAGTACCATCTCCGTTTACCGAACACCACAGATGCTAAAACCCTACGAGTGCTTAGAGAATCAGGGGACTTTGGTAAGTGCAGTACTAACTTCCACAATTAGGGATGTAGTCTATTCTAAGTAAGTAAAAGTGTCAAGTGTAGTTGCCCTGATTACAATCCTGCCTGCTGCTACCTCACTTGATCCATTGAGGCAACCTCCACCAAACAAACAAAAGCGCCTGCATCGCTAGGATGGTGCTGGTGGCGATGGCCGTCTGACGGCCCTTTTGCTTGAAGAGCTCGCCTACACAAGCAAAGGATGCTTTAGAAGGGGTTTTGCCTTGAGGGCGACATGATCATGAACAGATCGTGCCTCCATGTCAAATGCGTAATATCAAGACTACGTTCTGCTATACTGCAGCAAGGGTGGACGAAGGATGTCAAACGCGTGTTGTAGCACTTGGCTCGACAACTGGGTTTTTGGATGGTGCTGGGAAGTCACGACATTGCCCTGGACTCTCGACCACGCCTGGAGTTTGTGGCGTCGCAGCCTTAGCGAGGCTACGGGTGTTTAAGGATCTTTTTTATAGAGGCTCGGGCATCGGAAGGCTGCTGGTGTCGGGCTTGAAAAATCGATATTTTCACAAGGCCTTCAAAGGTACCATCGGCTGGCTAAACCCTGGGGCCCCTATGCCCGAAAACCAGGCCTCCTACTCAGAGAACACTTATGCCTACCTATATAAACACCCCAAAGAGTAAGCAAAAGGATGGCCCAACACCCACAAAGGGCTATGTGATTCAAAATTCTTGTGGGAGGCCAGGTAAAGCCCAGGCCGAATCTCCAAAACCCGATGTAAACACAGCTCCTGCATGAGGCCTTGAGCCCCAAACCCGCCTTCTACTGATAGAAAAAAGCAAAGGGTTTAGGGTTTAGGGCTTCAGAGGAGGAGTTGTCTGCTGGCTGCTGGCCTTTATGATGCTCTCAAGGCTACCAGTAGGCACCCCAAACCCCGAGAATTACAAGGAAATCCTGAACAAACCTTTTTGTGGTAACAAGCAGACATACAGCGTTTCTAATCTCTGAGCTTGCTGGCGACAGCTTCCTTCTTCGTCTCTTCGGGCGGTGGTTGTACCTTCGGTTCTGCACTTGTGTCGGGTTTCAGGGTTATCCTTGACCCTCAAAAAACCTTCTGAAAAGCCCTCGTAAATAAGATTCTCTCATGCACACCCAAATGTGCTCTATCCATCAGCCCCTAAATCTTAAACCCGAAAAGACCTTTTAACCAAGTAGCTAACAATGTGACACTTCTTACTTATGTGGGGGAATCCTGAAAACTAGCGGAGCTATTTATGCAGGTCCCCTAAATTACATTGAACTCAGGCCATAGTATAATATATCCCCAAACCCTGTTCTAATTAATCTTACCCTTATTACATTGCATTCAGGCTATAGGCAAGGAAAGGCTGAGGGTTTAGGTCGGCGCAGGTTTCAGCTGGGGCGTTTCCGCACAGGTTGAGGTTTAGGGTTTAGGGTTTAGGGTTTTATGGCTTCGGGTGGGTGTAGGACAGTGCGTTTGGAGGGTTCGCGGTTCGGGTTCTAGGGTTTATGCTTTGGGGGTTTAGTTTGGCTGCGGGTTGAGGGCCTGGATCTTTAACTTGAGATAATGATGCTAGAACCCGCGCTTGGATAACCCCAGATCTCACCGTCCCGAACCCTAAGGGTTCATGTACCCAAATAGTATATACATTGGCCCCAAAGTACCTTTCTAGGGACTACATTAAGGCCAAAGTATATACTATTTGGGCACATGGACCCTTAGGGGAATACAGAGATCATACAGGCCCCAACTGAAAGCCGGCCTGTTTCTTGACCTTTGGCTTCGGGCTGTTGGCCTTCATCAAGTATTGTCCCTGTCACCAGCCGCGGAACGTCTACTGGCAGTATGTGGAGGCTTCGTGGGCGGTTTCTGGGCTAGAATTTCGCAGTTGGTGCTTGAGGTTCTTGTCTTGAAGGGGGGATCTAGAGACCACATTGCCCTCCTCTATAGTTCATGGACATACACCCTGCCGAAAACTTTCCTTACCCTCAGCAGGAAAGGGCGGTGAGGGTCTTTGGTCTTCGAAAATGGAGGGCTCGTTGGGACCCGAACATGGCGGTGCCGACAACGAACCTGCAACGAGGGCCCGAACCTGTCAAAAGAACCCTACAAGATTCCCGGGGTTTAGGGTTTAGGGTTTAGGGACTTACGGGGTGCTCAATGTATGAGGTATGAGGCCCCAATACTCAAAGGGTGGGGGATAACTCCCCCCTATACTCATGCCATGTGTAGCAAAACTAATACGGCGTGGGTGATCGTCCGGTGGCTGTCTGCTTGGGGTCTAGGATGAGGGATTCAGGGCTTAAAGGTTTAGGGGTCTTGACCAGCTTGATGAAGGCGAAAAACTCATCTGCTCTACATAGGCGTGCCATGTTATGATGGGTCCATAGTGCGAGTTCGGTGTCGAGATGAGGGGTGAAAGCAATACCTATAGGATAACGGAGGTAAGTAACAGTTACGGGTGTTGTCCAAACCGGGGAAGAGCCCAGGCTGAGTTGGCTAGTAAAGTAAAAATCTATCGAAAAGGCTTAGGCTTCTTGATGAATTATAGTATGCTTATGTTGAAAAACCGGAAACACTAGTATTGGTGATTTGTTCAGAAATTTCATCGACGAAGGCAGGATCTGTGCGCGACCTCCACGCCAGTCCAAATGTGGTTCAACTCCACATTCACCTTGGTGCGATAAATAACAAAACAACCACGAAACATCGTTCGACACCAATAACTTTAAATCCGTGACGCCAAACTGTGCTTCAGCCATCACCTAAGCAAATCTTAAGCCCGAGCCTGAAGCGCCACAGAAACCGAGGGCGCATCTTCGCGCAGGAGCCCCAATGATTTAAGATGGGGTCTTGGGTATTACAGCAAATCTAGCGTGGAAAAACGTAGGAATACTGCAGGCCCCTGTGCTCTAAGATTGCAAACTTTCTGTTTATAAGGTCTGTCGGCATCAGAGGTCCTAGCAGATTTGGAGAGCGACTTGGGTTTCGGGCACAAGCCGGGACAAGCCTGCTGAAACAAACCCTAAACCCTAAACCCGAATCCCCGAAGCCGCAGATCTCAAACGCGAAACCGTTTAGCACCCAAGAAGCAGAGGCGGAAGCGTGAAGCCACTATGAAAGCCGAAGGCATCATAAACCAGCGAAGAACCGAAACCTTAAACAATAACCCTTAATTTCTAAATTTCACATCCCAGAAACCCTAAACCTTAAGCCCTAGACCCTAAGCCTTAAACCCTATACCCTAAACCCTAAACCTTGCCTAAATCCCAAACCCTCAGCTCCAAAAATGCCTCAGCTGGGCACCGTCAAAGCGTTCAGCTCCCTGCAGATGGCGACCTGCTGAAGGAGGTGACTGCTCACGTTGAAGTCCTGAAAACAAGGGTTTAGGGTTTTTAGGGCTTTTAGGGTTTAGGGTCTAGGGTTTAGGGATTAGGGTTAAGAGGTTGAGTGTTGAAGTCCTGAAAACAAGGCTTTTTTCCTCTCGCATGGAAACAAGCATTTAGGGCTTAGGGCTTTGGGGTTTTAGGGTTTAGGGTTTACGGGTTTAGTCGTGGTTTTATGGTTTAGGGTTCAGAGGTTTAGTAGTTTTATGGTTTAGGCCTTCGGAGTTCTATGGTTTAGGGGTTGGGGGTTTAGGGGTTTAGCTCACGTTGAAGTCCTTCATAAGGCTGTAGGGCTGTACGCTCTCACAACTCGGACAAGCCAGGCTTGGTCTAGGGCCTGATAAGGATTTCAAGCTTTATGGTTTACCTGGACCCTAAAGAACCTACCTTTTCAGGGTTCCTTTTTATGATTTCTGTATATAAGTCCTTAAAAAGGTAGGTTTATTTGGCTAAGGTAGCGTTTAGGGGTTTAAGGGCTTTCGGGCGTTGGCTTGGGGGTCAGTTAGGGCCTTGAGGGCTTAGGGTTTGCAGGGCTTTTAAGGTGTGGCCTTCAGGCTTTTAGGGTTTATAGGGCTTGCGAGGTTTGGCATTCAGGAGCTTAGGGCTTAGAGCTTAGTTGAAGTGCTTGAAAGATGTAAGTGGAATTTTCGAGCTCAGAGCCTTTGGAATGTATACGGGCGTTATGAGACGTGTACGAGACTTACACAAGGGTCTCGGTTGAAGTCCTGCCAAGTTCTTAAGTCGTATCAGGATTTCCTAGACTTGAAGAGTCGCTACACGGGGTTGCTACAAGTCAAATCCAAGTTGGGGCCTGTCGCAGCTGAATTTTCCAATCAATGCTCAGCTCTAACATGACAAAACCTTGCAGGCAAGGGGTTTAGGGTTTAGGGTATCCGAAGAAAGCAGGTGGAGCCATGGTGAAAGGCATCCACATAACTAACGCAGCCGCTCTAGGAGGCTGTAGTGAAACGACACGGCCATGATACGCCGTCACTTATAGCGGACGGCGGCAAAGGAACCTTAGACCCAAAACCTTAAACCCGAAAAGCCACTGTCGCAACTAAAGCATCACCCTAAACCCTAAACCCTGAACCCTAAACCCCAAGGCCAAAACTGGCTCTCTACTACTAAGCATTCCGACCCCGAGGGCTCCATTTACCTAAATCACATGCGGGCCTTCATAGTTAGAGTAGGGTTTTGGGGCCCATTACGCTGTACTTATAATAATAAGGAACCCTAAAATAGTATTCATACTTATTTAAGCCCCTAAATTACTACATCAGAGACCATGCATGATGTACTAGAGGAGTCTATGATTTAGGTAACTTGGGCCCTAGGGGAAGCCCCACTTCAAAAAAAAAGGGTCCTCATGCTGATGCCGCTTCTTGTGGGCATACAAAGCGGCCTGCATCGTGGATGCGACGAGGGCAAGACTTTCGGATGTAGGGTCAATATGGTAGTGTCCGAGAAGAAGGGGGTACCATATTTTGGGCTCCTTATAATAAGGATCCTACTACTGAGGGTACTATATTAGGGTCCCCTTGTTTCGGAAACCCTCATATAGGGGTGCCTTGTATAGGTTTTGGGGGTATGGCCCAATGTATCAGCTGCTACTTCAGGCTTCTTTAATTACTACGCAAACCCAGCTCTCCCCTTAACCGAAAAGGGCCCCTCAAAAGGGCTAGCAGACTTGAACCCAACGGCCCCACTCAAGGGAACGAAATAGTTTCAACACGGTCTCGTTGGGGATGTACGATGGTGTTTGTCACATTTCTTCTCGGTTCTGCGTGCTCCGATACAATCCATCTGAGTGCACTTTCGAGACTTTGGAGCAGTGCTCAAACTCTAAGCCCGTTCAAATCCATACAGTGTCTATAACCCTTACTTTGACACGGAACCATCCAAATCCCTAAAACCCTCAACGCGGAGTCTAAAACGCCAAGATCCGAAACCGATGCAGAACCCTGTAAAGACGCGTAAGCCCTAAACCCTAAACCGAAATGCACACTGCGGATCTGCTCGGGGATGCACAAGGCCACAGCCTTGCTACAATCTGCGAATGAATGAACCCTAAAACCCTCAAACGTCATGTAAGATCTGCAACACGCCGTGCAGAAATAGGAGACCTTGGTGTGTAGTTCCCTCCCAAACCAGGACAGCACTACGCTACACAATCACTTTAAATCCGAAAGGGTACCACGCAGCACCGTAACAAAGACACAATGCAGAGGCCTATGAAACCGTCACGCATAAACCCTATAACACCCCATAGACAACCCTATAGAAGCCTTGGAAAAAAGCTTCCAATGCCATTTGCAAGGCAAGAACAAAACAAAAACTTGAACCCTAAACCCTAAACCCTGAACCCCACCAAAAGCTAAACTCCAAAACCCCAAACCCCGATTGTTGCCGGGCTCCCGGCAGATCTCCCAGGCATCACACTCTCGAAGGCGGAGGAGCCGAAGGTACTGGAGCCTTCCTGGCCGAGGGTTGAGGATTCCTGTACCCGCGACTAGACCCTAAACCCTAAACCCTAAACCCAACCCTAAATACCCACTCCTTGGGACCATATACCCTTATTTGAGGGTACCAAGAGGGTCCTATAAAGCTTGAGGTTTTAAATCTCGGTTTAGGGTCAGGGAAGCCAAAGGGATTCAGGGTTTAATTTGAGCCTCTGTGTTTGTCCCTTCATAGGGGGCCCCGACCTCGCTGAAGTTTAAGGGTTTTAGGGTTTCGGGTTTTAGGGTTTAGGGTTTCAGGGTTTAGGGTTTCAGGGTTTAGGGTTTAGGGTTTAGGGTTTAGGGTTTTAGGGCTTTAGGACTTTAGGGTTTAGGGTTTAGGGCTTCAGTCTTGGACGGCTCTGCTCCTCAAGGACGGTGTTGGGTCCATGAGACCTTCCAGGAGTATCACGTGTTTCCATGGCCGTTTTGGGGGATCCTCGAAGTCAGTAGTACCTTTTTTGCTTACCATGTTCCCTCAATATTGAATCCTAGGATTTAGGGTTTAGGGTATGTTCCCTCAATATTGAATCTTAGGATTTAGGGTTTAGGCCTACAGGGTATGTTTCCTCAATATTGAATCCTAGGCATAGAAAGGGTTAACCCAAAGCCAATTTACAATGGAGACCCTCGGTACCAGGCTGTTCAATTATTTGTCATGTCTCCCTTTTGGCTGAAGGTTTAGGTAGTGCTAATCCGGTATATTCTATCATAAACCCTAATCCCTAAACCCCGAAACCCCTAAACCCTACAACCCATATACCTACATAGCTTAGGTGTTCTTCTGACACCCATGTGCTACCTCCCTCCGCTCTTTGTCGCAGGTCCTTTGCGGCTGCACGAAGCTTCTTCCTCTCCATGGCGAGCTGCTTGAAGTGCAACTTCAAGAGCATGTCCTTAGGACTATCGGGTTTAGGGTTTAGGGTTGCCATAAAAGTTTCTATCAGGGTTCTACACGGTTTAGGGCGTTGCCTTTTCCTGTCCAGGGTTGAGGGGTTAAGGCTTGCGCTAGGGCTTTTGAAGCGTTTAAGGTGTAGAGCGGCTATGTCGCGGCGAGGGGTCTTGCCGAACAGTTTGAGGCTTCGCGGGTCTTGGATCAAGACTTCAAGGTCAAGGACTTTGAACGACACTCGTCCTTTGTTCTCTCAGGGTTCAAGGCGCACACCAAACTTTTTGAGTTCGATTTTGAATGTGGTGTGCGGCCGGCTATGCACCTTCAAGAAAATTAAGGGTTTCGGCGGGGGAGATGCGGCTTGGGGCGCTGAACTCCAGTTAAACATGGCCTTAGAACAGAGGGTAGTTGTGGCATCTACTTGAACCCCAACCCCCTGGACCTTACACCCTAAACCCTAAAACCCCTCCCTAAACCCTTTTTTCCCACCCGCTTCGCTGACAATCCCCTAAACCCTAAACCCTTTAGGGTTTGGGGGCCCAAACCTCTAAACCCTAAAACCCCTGAAACATCCTGAACCTAAACTCAAACCCTCTGCAGCCAGGAGGTCTTTCGCCCGACCCTCCTTCTCGTTCTTCTCCTCCCAAAGATTCTCTAGAAGCCCAGTTGCCATGCCGAGCTACACTACCTAAGCCCTAAACTCTAAACCGTCATACCGAAAACCCCAAACCGTACTAGGGTTTAGGGTTCCAGCAAGTCTCAACATGTCACCCTACGAGCTACCCAAGTACACCACACAAGCAGGAAGGGTGCTGGGTTTAGGGTTTAGGGCATATAACCCTGCCAAAACGGCACGGATAGAGAGCTGAGGATCTAGCCCTCGTTGCACCAGAGCTGAGGTTTCAGGAAGTTTAGGGCTTAAGGCTAATCTACCTGTAGCAGAAAAAAGGCTTTGGGGTTTAAGGTTTAGGGGTTTAGGATTTAGGGTCTATCTTTTTAAAAGGCTCCTTGTTCATATGGTTTCTATATACAAGACCCTAAGAAGACCAATATAGGGGCCTGAAGCATTAGAATAGGGTGCTGCACTGCAAAGTCAGAATCAGGAACCCCGAAACAACTTTGGTGAGTATTCGTAACATTTTCCATTTAGGCCCCTATCCTATAGGATTTAGGGTTGCAGGTGCTAGGTTTAGCGACATACATGGCTTTAGGGTTCGCGGTTGAGCTTACGGTTATGAGGGTAATGGTAAGGTGCTTGCAAACTCGCAACAACACTTCGTGCCCCGATGACACAACCTGCAGAGCTTGCGGTTTAGTGCTTCGACTTGTGGAAACTACCTAAACCCTAAACCCTATATCCTAAATTCTGAACCCCAACCCTAAGCCCGAATTTGCCACATACTTAAATTCGACCTATATCCTAAGCCCTGAACCCTCAACCCTCAACCCCAATTTGGCATAAACCTTTATTCGACCTATATCCTAAATCCTGAACACTCAACCCTAAACTGTGTGTTGGCATCTTGGGTCGTTGGAGGCCTCAGGAGCCCTGGTTTGCATGGCCCTGGGAAATCAACCTCTTACCTCAGGGGCTGAGTACCCTAGCCCCAAAAAGGTTAGCCTTGGCCCCGAACATGTTCATGTTTCATAGGGGTTGTGGAGTAAGGAGTAGACATAGCAGAGAGTTGGATATGAATCATCAAAGACTTCATGTTGCGTCTTGGCGAATCTCCCTGATGTCCGGGACATCGGGCTCTATGTTTGATGAAACCCAGTTTAGGATCATTGGATTTCCTCTCGTCCCCGAGAAGCGTCTTTCGAGTGTGTGGGAAATTGAGGGTTACAGTTTGGGGTGCAGGCTACCTGCAGTCAAGGCCTGGGATGTAAGCGACCTGCAAACCAATCGGAAATGCATGGACGTCGCAGGCAGGGCAGGTAGGGCTTGGGGGTTTACATGTTGGCCTTGAGCATTCGGGGCCACCCGTGGGCACGACTCGGGCTGTTAAGTAAATCATGATTGGACATTTGGTATATCCTGGGCGTTTCCTCCCCTCTGCTTCCCAAGGACCTAATTAGGTACTACAATACTTGGTTCAGGACGGTGTGCGTACGGAAGGTTGGCATTTGCCGGGGAGTATATGATTAGTAGATGAAGTGCAGGCCTACTGCAGGCGTAGTGTTCAAGGTGGGGTTCCCAGAAAGCATGAACTATCCTTCGCACAAATTCCATCACCAGCCATAGGCATTCACAGTACACGAAGGATCCTTAAGCCCAGAAACCTTCTTGACCCCAAACCCTGTCAACCGCCGAGGCTGCTGTGCTCAAATCCTGAAACCGAGCTGAACCACGGCGGGGCTTCTTTCCTCACCGTGCCTCGTTCTTTTGCTCCACCGTCTATATCACCAGCTGTTCTACTCAACATAGTTGGGGAATCGACACCAACTGCTGGGAAACAAATGCCCCTAAAGCCTAAACCCACAAACTCTAAACCCCAAACATGCAAAGTTGACATTAGTTTGGCATCGGGCTTTAGAGTTTACCGTGTTGCCAGGGTACTACCACCAAGACGTCAGCTGCAAGGCTACAGTAAGCTTACACCCTGTTTCCCAAGCCCTGGCCCCTCCATGTCTGCAAGAGCTCTCTTCATGCAGAATCTTGTTAGCATCATGAGCACGGGACTTAGCCCAAACCAAGGCTTGTTGAAAGACTAACTAGAGCCCAAATAAGCAGCCAGGGCTTCTCCGTGAACGTGAAAGTTCCTTCAGCTCTGAATCTAAGCCCTAAACCTCTGAAACCCTGAGCCCCCAAGCCCTCTCCTGAACCAAGAGGGACACCTCGTCCAAGTAGTGTCTTGCATTCTGGATGTAGTTGAAGATTTGCTCCTCCATATGGCCTCAGGACTGGTTTGGGGGTTCACAGTTTGGAGTTTTAAGGATTTTAGGGTTTATGCAGTTTACATTTTGGGGGTTCAGGGTTTATGGGGTTTCGGGCTGAGGATTTTGGGGCAGTTCCGTGCTCAGGGCTGACATAAGCGTACCTAGAATCGAGACGCGACCCCGTGGCCACCCTCCTAATAATCAATGGCCAGGGCCGAGGCGGCTTTTGCCAGGTAGAGGGCACGCAGGGCACTTTCTAAGTGCCCCAGAGCTGTACTCTGAGATGCTCCAGATCCAGCACTATGCAAAGCTTGCGGGCCACATGTGCAGTTGAGGCGTCTGCGTGCTAGCCAAAGCCACAGGAACCCAAGCCAAAGTTTTCCAAGACACTTCCATAGAAACCAAATTGTCCCATCATGTAATACATGATACTATCCAGCGGCAAAATACGACAGCAGGGTGCCAGTGGCTATAACTGAAACAGCCCGCAAACCATAAAAGCGAATGGGACATGCTAGATTGGGAACATAGGAACCTGAGCACCAAAGATTCCATTTCGTCCCACGCGATGCAGTACTGCTGGTTGTAGTAGTGGTCGTCGTAATAGTCGTCGTCGTCGTCGTCGTCGCCGTACTAGTA